GAGGTCTGAAGTCATTTTAATGTTCTTGTTTTTGCACTCAATATCTGAGATAATCTGATGCTGGAGCCCAGTGAGGTTCTCAAGGTGGTTTTGGACCTGTGCAGGAAGCTCCCTTGTCAGCTAACCGAACAACCAAGCCGGAAGGGCCCTTGAAGGTCTTCTAATCCAACCCCCTGCTCAAGCAGGAGCCCTTATTACAGACAAGGAGAATATGCTGCCTTTGGAGGAGCTGGGAGGCTCTTTTTTGGCCTCTCTGTGATTTTTCTGCTCTTATTAAAGTGTGTGCTTGTATAAATGCAATACATACATTCCCCACGCTTGAAATCATGTATTCAATTCTCCTCATTCAGATATGTTGCGTTTCATCTATTTCTATGGGGTCAAAGGGGTGAAGTGAAGACAGCCAAAATCATGTGATTTATGTTCTTTGCATTGGGCATTAAAGCAACTAGATTAGGCTAGTTTGCATCATGACACTGCAGTTTCCTCCTTGGCTGCTGGGTCTTCCCTTGGGACCAGCCTCAACCCAAGGTCTCCATGGAGGGGAAATGGCAGCCTTTGAACCCACCAGTAAGTGTCTCCCACCATTCTTTCGCAGGATATCCGCTCCCGTCCATATTGTCTAATAAAGCATTGCAGTGAACCTAGATTTGCTTTGGGTCTTGTTTTTTAATTGAAATTGCACAAAACAGTGTATAATAGGGCAAAAATCTTTTTGAAGCAATGTACCTCTATAAGATGTATCCAAAGTAGAGGGCCCATCCTTGCTTTCGGGTTGAAATTTGGAAATGTTGAGGCTGTTTTAGAACTGCCATGCAGCTGCGGCCAAAGCAGGATCATTTCCAACGCTTGCGGAAAGCTTGTCACAATGCAATAGAGAAGCTGGCAGGAAGTCAATTCCGATGGCCAATGCTCCTTTGCCAACTTCCCACAAGCCAAGTCAGGCAGGTAAGTGGCCGCTGCCAGGTGAAGAGATGGTCCAGGGGTGTGTACAAGAGTTCAGATGCAGGCCAGGGAGAGTACACAAGCGTGTGGGGTGGCTGAGAGGTCGCAGATATTTAGGTAGTATGGTCAGGCCTCTGCATTGTCCCGGGGTTGCGTGATCCCCTTTTGCGGCCTTTTCACAAGCAAAGCCAATGGGGAAACCCAATTCACTTAACTCTGTCACTAATTTAACCCCTGCAGTGATTCACCTCACAAATGTGGCAAGAAAAGTCATAAAATGGGACAAAGGTCACTTAGAATAGAATACTTTATTGGCCAAGTGTGACTGGACACACAAGGAATTTGTCTTGGTGCAAATGCTCTCAGTGTACTTAAAAGAAGATACATTCATCAAGAGTTGAGAATCATCAGGTGCAACACTTAATGATAGTCATAGGGAAGAATAAGCAATCATACTAGGAAACAATAAAAGTCCTTAGGATACAAGTGACAAAGTTACAGCCATACAGGCACAAGTGGGAGGGGATGGGTGATAAGTAGTGATGAGAAGATTAATAGTAATAGTGCAGACTTTGTAATACTTGGACAGCGTTGAGGGAATTATTTGTTTAGCAGAGTGATGGCGTTTGGGAAAAAACTCTCCTCGTGTCTAGTTGTTCTGGTGTGTAGGGCTCTAGCATCGTTTTGAGGATCGGAGTTGAAACAGTTTATGTCGGGGGTGTGAGGGGTCTTAACAAACTTAACATATTTCTCACTAAACAACATAAATTTTAGGCTCAATTGTGGTCATAAAGTTGAGGACAACCTGTAAAGGGAATCGTAAAACGGTTGTCAGATCCGTGTATCTGTCATTTCTTCAGTGGAAGAAGAAAAGTGGAGGGAGGCTGATAAAGAAATCCTTTCTTGATGTGACCTGAATATATTTAATCTTATATCGAATTTATATAACCCACACATGATACAAGGGAGGGAGAAAAGCCAGATGGCCAGAACCTATCACCTCTGAGAGGCACAGCCAGGAAATGAGAAGATCATAAAAATTCCAGTGAGATGTGTCCTGGGAATCTCTGGAAAAGTTTGTTCTAAAAAGGGGGTGGGGGGAAATTAGGTATGCCCTGGGAAACTGAAAAAGAGTTCCTTACAAAAGGGGTGGGGAGGAATTAACATACTGGCTTTTGGTTCTCTAAATACACATCGAGATAAGGGGAGGGGTTCTAAACTCCCTTATGTATCCCTGTATGCCTGAGGGACCTCAGACGCTGCTTTGAACTCCTACAGGAATTGTCTCATCTCAATAAAAGATTCCTTTTTGATACGTATTGATAGGTTTTCAGAAGTTCATTCTAGTTGAGTGAATGGGAAAAGTTCGGTAGCCTGACAACGGTGTTATTCTGATGTTTACTTCCACTTGAGTATCTGGGCTGAGAATACAGTATATTCTGAAGTTGACAGAGAAAGGTTGAGATGGCAATGAAAGGTGAGTGTTGACACCTGACTTATTGAACTGTAATTAGGTCTGGGATAAAGAGTCAAGCAGTTTCTTAAATCTTGATGAACCCTTCGATGGCATCATGAGGTATTTTAAAAAGCCCTGGTAGCAGAGTGGTTAAAATGTATTATTGCAGGCACACTGCCCACAGCTTGGAGTTTGAGCCTGATAGCACTCAAGGCTAATTCAGCTCTCCCTCCATTTGGGTATGGTAAAAAGAGAACCCAGGTCATTGGGGGCAATATGCAAATCATGCTTACTTTGTAATCCATCCAGAGGGCTGTTTATGGCCAACCATAAAGCTAGAGATGGCATCAAGACCATTAGCTAGGGATGGAGAGGAGTGGCTGAGTACACCCAGGAGTTTCGGCTTGCAGGTTCACTAACTGGCCACAAGACATCCTGGTTGGCTGCTTCCAAGGTGGGCTGAGTGATGTCAGGATCAATAACTTTTGTCAACAATTGCAAACTGACACTTCGCAACAGGGAAAATGAGTTTTTAGACATTTTATTAACAAAAAATCATGGATATAACAAACTGACATCATAGTGACTTGCAAAACATGTCATATGTTTGAACTTATGCCCACAGAACACTCAAACTACATATGTATCAAATGTAAATCTTATGAAGTACTAGAAGAAAAAGTATAGGGTCTAGAAGCAACTCTTATTTTGAAACTCGGCTAACAAAGCGAGAAATCCCAACCTAAACAAGAATATACCAACATTAAAGATAGAGAGCAAACAGCTTCTTTTAAAAAAATGACCCGATACCTGAACAAAAAGAAAACGGATACATCCAAATTGAACACAACATGTTTCTTTTAGAAGAAAACAGCAACCAAGAATAAAGCCCCTACTGCCTACCTTAGCCCATTCCAGTGAAGCCCCTCTGGAACTGAACACTGTGGCCATAGTCTCCTCCTGGAAGAAGATATGCAGACACCTATAAAAGAGCAGTCATCAATAGTTTTTAAAAAGGAGGCACAATCCAACATTCGGGGGAAAGGTGAATGTTGGTGATAGGAGATTCAATTTTTTGGAAAACAGAAACTATAGTCTGCAGACCAAACTGTCAGTCTAGGAAGGTATGTTGTCTTTCTGGAGCAAAAATCAAAGATGTAATTGAGAAAGTTACTAAAATATTCAACCCCACATATTACTACCCATGTCCTCCCCTACATATGAGGACGAAGAATGAATCTAAAGACAAGATTACGAACAGCTAGAGAAGAAAGTTAAAGAATTAGGAGCACAAGTGGTATTTTGAGTCTACTTCCAACAAAAAGCCAACATCTAATGAGAGAGCAAAAGATTTTAGAAACCAACCACTGGCTTAAAAACTGCTGTCCTCAAGAGAACTTGGGTGTGATGACCCAGGGTGGGATACAAAACAAACAGTCACAAAAAACAGGGGAAGCCCCTTTTATTCCTTCACTTTGCTTCCAAGCTCCGAACATCCTTGATGGAAGACAAAAAAAACTCCCATGCAGTTATGAGAAGGGAAAAAGCAACACAAACCAGGCAAGATAAGGGCTGGAGGATGTCCACAGATAACACACGAGAAGGACGCCAAACTCAGAGAGGAACCATAGAGATATTTCCACGCTTTGTTTCCAGTGTTCATCAGTACGCAGGTCCGTCCTCTTATTCAGTTGTCACAGCTGCAGCCCATGAAGGTCAAGGCCCTCTCCTCCCAAGTAGACCACATCTCTCCCTTATCCTTTCCTCCCTGCGTGCCCTAGGATGGAGAGGGGATGGGCCTGGGTCCTCCTCTGACTGCCCAGGTGGCCTTTGCCCTTCCTCAGCCCCCTTCACAACCTCCGGAGCCACACTTCCACTCCCTGTCGGCTGTTCCTCCTCTCCCTCGGGGTCAGTCTCCACCAGGGGCATGACATTGGGCTTCTTAGTCCATGGTCTGCATTATCTAGATGAAGCACTGCTGGCAAGGAATGAACCATGTTAGGTTTTGAGAATTAACCCCTAGCAGAGTATTGCAGCAGTAGTCAAGCCAGGCAACCAAAACGAGAGTGGAAGGGCCCCAGAGTATACACACACTGAACACAAACACTGTTTGTAGTTTAAATAGTTTTTAATCCAGTTAGAGTTTAATCATTGTCATTCAGTCCATTAAGTCATTCACAGTATTTCCATCCAGTATGACTCACTAGTATAGTCCAAGTTAAGAGTCCTTGCAATATCTTTATCAGCCGATAAAGATATCTCCTCCTCCTCCGGTTTCACTCTCCAGAGAAACAAACGCTGGATATTCAGCAAACAGTAGCAAACAATAACAGTTCAGTCACAGGCACTCACAGTCAGTAATCACAGTTAGTCGCAGTAGCACACAGTTACAGTAGCACACAGTTACAGCCAGTTACAGACAGACAGCTTTCCAGCTTCTAATGCTTCCTTATATTGTAACTTCTAACCGCACCCTTAATCGGCTAATTGCCTGCTGCATTGTGCTTAAAGTGATAAGCACTTAAACCATGATATCTAAGTTTTATATATTTATTCACCCAAACCATATTTGGTATCAATGTTATACCTAACAAACCTCATAAGAACTGGAAAGAATATATTCCGCAAACAACTGGCTCATCTTATCAGAAGGGCTTTAAACTAAAATTGAGGGGGGGGTCCAATCTTCAAGACCTATAGAACCTGATTCCAAGCAAAAAACCACTAGATAACCAAGGAGGTAGAGAGTAAAGAGAAAGAAGAAAAAAAGGAAAAACACAGTAAAGTAGAGAGGGATGGATGGAAAGGATGGAAACCCCAGATACAAAGTAGGAGATATAAAAAACATACCCAAGATCCATAAAGGACTCAAATGCCTATATACAAATGCTCAAAGTTTAGGGAACAAACAGAATGAACTTGAAAGTACATAGGACACAGTTGCTATTACGGAAACCTGGTGGGATGAAACTCAATATTGAATTGGATGGCTTGATTTGTAACTGCTTGACAAACTGTACTCAATGGGTTGTCCTTTATGGTAATACATCTACTTACTCTTTTGGGTCCCAAAATAAACACTAGGGCTTATTTTCATGGAAACACAATTTCTTGGTGATCAGTAGGGCTGGGCACCCCACCCACCTGCAAAAGCAATAGAGGTGCCAAGTGCGCACAGGAAGACAGTGTCTGAAAGCAGGCACAGCCTGTGCAGCACAGGTGAGTTGATTACCTGTGTAAGCAGCAGGCAGAAGCAGAGGTGGGAGGGAAGGCAGGTGGAGTCGGTGAGCAGGAGTGCCGGCCAGTGGTGGAAGGCTCATATTCCTGTGGCAACATCGGCCGCAGACAGAGGTAGAGGCGCAAGGAAAAGGCTGGTGATCCCAATGTGCCGCAAAGGCTGCAGGCAAGCTGACAGATACGAAGATGAGCCTCCTGCAGTTGGCTGCTGCCTCCAGCCTAATGGTTTTCACATGGTCCAGCAAGTGCATCTACATCACCTGCCTCCCAGCATGCACCTCTGCCTCCGTCTGCTGCCAGTGTCGGCTTGCATGGGCTTGCTCCCTCCTCTACTGGCCATACCCCACCCTTCACTGGGTCTTATTTTTGGGTAGGGCTTATATTAGGTGCATGCTTAAAATCAGGCTGGGTTTATTTTTGAGGAAACGGTATATGATGTTTCTCCTGTGTGGACTCTTTGATGCCTATAAAGACTTCTGTTTGCAGAGAAACTCTTTCCACACTTTAAACACTTATATGGTTTGCCTCCTGAGTGGATTCTTTGATGGATGTAAAGGTTTCCTCTCCGATTGAAGCTCTTTCCACACTTCAGACATTTATGTAGTTTTTCTCCTGTGTGAACCATTTGATGTTTATACAGAGTTGCTCTAATATTAAAACACTTTCCACATTTCAGGCATTTATGTGGTTTTTCTCCTGTGTGAATCATTTGATGGTTATAAAAACTTACTCTCTGACTAAAGCTTTTTTCACACTCCAGGCATTTATATGGTTTTTCTCCAGTGTGGATCCATTGATGTTTGCGGAGCTTTCTACTCTCAGCAAAGCTCATTCCACACTCCAGGCATTTATACGGTTTTTCTCCTGTATGGATTCTTTGATGTGCATAAAGGTGTCCCTTCCGAGTAAAGCTTTTTCCACAATCTACACACTTATGCAGTTTCTCTCCTGAGTGGATTATTTGATGTCCATTAAGGATTCTCTTCTGACTGAAGCACTTTCCACACTCCGCACATTGAAACGGTTTCTCTCCTGAGTGGATCTTTTGATGTAGATAAAAGTTAGTCTTCTGATGAAACCTCTTTCCACACTGTAGGCATTTATACAGTTTTTCTCCTGAGTGGGTTCTTCTATGTCTATAAAGGCTGCTCCTCTGACAGAATCTCATTCCACACTCCAAGCATTTATATGGCTTCTCTCCCGAGTGGATCCTTTGATGTATATCAAGGTTGCTCCAATGACTGAAGCTCTTTCCACACTGCAGGCATTTATACTGTTTTTCTCTTGAGTGGGTTCTTCTATGTCTATAAAGGCTGCTCCTATCATTGAAGTTCTTTCCACATTCCAGGCATTTATTTGTTTTGTCTCCAGTCTGGATTGTTTGATGTCTGCAAGGGCTGCTCCCATCACTGAGGTTCTTTCCACACTCCAAGCATTTATTTGTTTTCTCTCCTGAGTGGATTCTTTGATGTCTACTAAAACTGCTTCTATGATTGAAGCTCATTCCACACTCCAGGCATTTATGAGGTTTCTCTCCTGAGTGGATTGTTAGATGGCTTTGAAGATGGTCTTTTCTTCTGAAGGATTTTTCACATTCTGGGCATTGATATTCCTTTTCTCCTGAGTGGATGCTTAGATGGATTTGGAGATGTCCATTTCTCTTGAAGGTTTTTTCACATTCCGGGCATTTGTATTTCTTTTCTCCCGAGTGGATTCTTAGGTGGTTTTCCAGTTTATCATTCTTTTTGAAGGATTTTTCACATTCTGGGCATTGAAATTTCTTTTCTCCCTCCTGGATCCTTTGGGGATTCCCCGGACTTCCAAAGGGTTCTCCCTCCTCTTGGCATTTATTCGGTTTCTCTTCCGAGTGGATTCTTAGATGTTTTTCAAGGTTTTGAATTGTTTTGAAGGATTTTTCGCATTCCCAGCATTCGTACGTCTTTTGCAAATGGATTCTTTTATGTCTATAGAAGCTGCTCATATGATTGAAGCTCTTTCCACACTCAACGCAAAAATGAGGTTTTTCTCCTGTGTGGATTCGTAGATGGTTTTCAAGATCATTCTTTGTTTTGAAGGATTTTTCACATTCCGGGCACTGATATTCCTTTTCCGCTGAGTGGATAGTTAGATGTCTGTAAAGGCTTTCTCTCACACTGAAGCTCTTCCCACATTCGAAGCATTTGTATGGTTTCTCTCCCGAATGGATTCTCTGATGCGTGTTAAGGCTTTCCCTCAGATTGAATCTCTTTCCACACTCCAGGCATTCGTACGGTTTCTCTCCGGAGTGGATCCTTTGATGTCTGGAGAGGTTTCCCAACTGACTGAAGCTCTTTCCACACTCCGGGCATGTAAAAGGTTTCTCTCCCGAGTGGGTCCTGAGATGGGTTTCAAGATAGTCAATTCTTTTGAAGGATTTTTCGCATTCCGGGCACTGATATCGCTTTCCTCCCTCCTGGATCCTCTGGGGGTTCCCGGGTCTTCCGAGGGACCCTCCGCCCTCCTGGCTTGTCTCGGGCTCTCCGTCCGTTTCCTTCTCCCCGCTTCGACCTCCAGGCGGCCTCCTTTCCCGGGGTCCTCCTGGGCTCATTCCTCCTGCAGCCCCGGGGCCGCCCGGCCTTTCACCTCCGTCTCCCGGGGAAGCCGCGCCGAGACCGGGCAGGGCTGCTCCGCGGGGCCCGCTCTCCTCCTCCTCTCGGGCGGCGTTTCCTTCCTTCCCCCGCCGGGCTCCTCCGTCCTCCTGAGGGGGGGAAAGAGAGGCGGGTCACGACTGCATCCCCTTTCCCTGGAGAGGAAGCCCAGGCCGAAGCCTCCGCCTCTCACGGGCCTTCCGGGCAGGCTCGGCGAGGCGGACACGGCCTCCCTTCAAGCGTCCCCCCGCCCCCGCCCCGCCAGACCAGGTCCCGCCCTCCCCATCTTGCCCGCCTCCCTCCCTCCCTCCCTTCAGGGCCTCCCCCCCCTCCGGAGACTCTCCCGCAAGACTGCGAATCCCAGCATCCCCTGCGCCAAACCTGCATCATCCGGGCTCTTCCAAAGGCCGATTCAGTCGGCTCCGTCGTTACCCGGTTCGGTTTCCGGAAATTGGAGGCTGACCCTGTCTTTTTCGCTTTTCCGGGTTAGGAAGGCCGAAGCTCCGCCTCTTCCTCTGGAGGAGGGACCGCCCCAAGGAGTCCGCCAGCCAATCGCCGCCGTCCCCAGAGCGACCAATTGGCGTCCGCCCGCCTTCAACGAGCCAGAGGGCGCCTGCGCGGTGTGTGGGGGGCTTGGGGCTTTGGGGGGGGTCGCTGTGAATTTTGGAGTTCACTGTTCTGCCCCCCCCCGCATCCAGTCTGGCGGAGGTTGAGGGGTCGTTCTGGGGCTGCGGCTTTCCCCCTCCCTCGCCTCCCCCCTCCGGAGTCCCCTCCCCTAGGAGTCTTCCTCCTGGGGGGCTCCGACCAGGCCCCTCCGTGGCCTCCAGGCAGCGACCCCTCCCCAATCCAGCTCCCCTCGCCCCCCCTTTCCCGCCTCCTCCTCCCCCCAGGACCGCTTTGCATTTATGCAGGGGGGAGAACCCGCTCCAGGACCCCCCCCCTTTAATATGTGGACAACCCCCCCCCCCAGCCTCTGCTGACCCCTTGAGATCAAAGCTCCAGGAAGGCGAACCTTTCCCTCCGTTGCCCCTCTGGAGGTTGGGCCCCTTGCAGTTCCCCCCCCCCTTCCCAGGAAGCGGGACCCGGGGCTACATGCCCCCCCCCTCCCGGCCTCGGGGAGGGGGCTGTTCCCATTTAATGCGGGGCCCCAAAGCCTGGAGGGGGTTCCTGGTCCTGCAGCTTCTCCTCGGCTGGGAGGTGGTCCTGAGGGAGCAACTCCGTCCGTTTTTAGCCTTATATGCCCCCCTCCCCCTTTTGCCAATCGCCACTTTGAAGGTTTGAAACCATTGTAATGTTCCTGTTGTTTTTGCAGCCAGAGGATGTCATGTGATGCTGGAGCTCAGTGAGGTTGGACGTCCCCTTGTCAGCTGACAGAACCATCAAGGCTGGAAAGGGACCTTGGAGGTCCTCTAGTCCAACCCCCTGCTCAAGCAGGAGGCCTTATCCCCAAGGCGCTGTTTCAAGAGGCGACTGGACTTCATTTTTCCTTTGAAGACTTTTCACTTCTCATCCAAGAAGCTTCTTCAGCTCTTCAGTATCAAAGAAGCTTCTTGTCCGATTCCTTTTGATACATTTTCAGAAGTTCATTCTAGTTGATGGAATGGAAGAAGTTCTGTAGTCTGACACTTCTAGGAGGAGGAGCGAAATGCCTTAAAAGGAAAACCCGAAAGTCCAGTTGCCTCTTGAAAAAGCGCCTTTGGGAGAACCCTGATCTGATAGATGAGGGAGAAACTCCAGAGACATTCAGGCCTGATACTATTCTAGACACCTGGGAACCTGCTGCGTTTGCTTGGAGGTTCTTTCCTGGCCTCTGTTATTCTTTTGCTTTTATCAAAGTGTGTGCTTGTATAAATGTCATACATACATACATTCCCCACACATAGTTTCCTTAAGTCTACTTTATTGTCCTTCCACGTTGCACAACAAAACTAAATACCTTCTTCAGTGTACAATGGATGATTATGAAAATAAACACACATCCCTCACACTCCACACATTGAATTGAAAACCCCTGCTATTAATTTTGCACTATACAGTAGAATTCAGTGTTACTGTTTCCCTTTGATCTTTGGGGTGCAGTCCCCCCCCCCCCCGCCCCCCCCCCACATCCAGTCTGGTGGAGGTCGAAGGGCCCTTCTGGGAATACAGGTTTCCCCCTCCCTCCCCCATCTGGGGTCCTCCCTAGGCAAGGCAGGGAAGCATCCAGACAGGTGGAGCTGAAGGGGCTCCGCTTCCTCCTGGGGGGCTCCGGTCAGGTTCTTCCCTGCAACTCCTGACACGCCCTCCCCATCCAGCTCCCTCCCCCCTTTCCCGCCTCCCCCCCAGGACTCGCCCTTAACATGTGGGCCCCTCGACCTCTGACACCTCCAGTCCGAAGTGAGGAAGCTTCTGGGACGAGGAGCTAAACACCTCCAAGAAAGTCCAGCTGCCCCTTGAAGGAAAAGCGCCTTTGGGACAACCCTGATAGGAGAGACGAGGGAGCATCTCCGGAGACATCCAAGAGGCCTGATGGTATCCCAGACACCTGGGAGTATGCGGCCTTTGGAGGCTCTTTTTTGGCTTTTTATGTGATTTTTCTGCTCTTATTAAAGCTTGTGCTTGTATAAATGCAATACATACACACATTCCCCACACTTGAAATCATGTATTCTCCTTCAGATACGGTGTGTTTCATGTATCATCACGGGGTCAAAGGGCTGAGGCAAAGAGAGGTCCATCACAGCCAAAACCACATGATTTATGTTCTTGCATCGGGCACTAAGGAAGCGACGACAAGAGGCTACAGTCTGCATCGTGACATTGCAGGAAGTTTCCTCCTTGGCTGCTGGGTTTTCCCTTGGGAGCAGCCTCACCCCAAGGTCTTCATGGAGCCTTTGAACCCACCTCAGCAAGAATCTTGGGACCCATCCACTGGTGACCCTGAACAAGTCTATGGGGCAACCCTCTCTGGACACAATAACGGTGTCGGGGAACAATGCGTTAAGAGAAGCCATGAAGCAACGGTCCTGTTCAAAGACTTGGCTGCCCTTTAGTTCCAGGACATAATGAGATTTTTGACAGGATGATGCAATAAGCCCTCATTCCCCCACCCTCCCAGGATTTTCCCCAGTTCCGTCTGTAACCCATTGGGTCCATCAGTCACTGGAGGAGGAGTGTTCCAATGGGTCCACCCTCCCTGCAGAGGGGGGAAGAATGGCGTCTCATAGGCGCCAAATCATGATCTGACTTTGACAAGGGATAACAACAGATTCCCCGCCAGATCACGTTGCCATTGATTTGATTAAGATCAAACCATGACTGCCATGATCCCTTCGATTGCTTCTGAAGCCAGGGATGGCAAACGGAAGCCTCCCCGGACCATTAGCCTAGAGAACTCCACTGTCAACCCAGCTCAGGCAGGGAGGTTGCCATGCGGCAGGGAGGCTTGTAGCAACCAAACCATCCCAGCTTCAGGAAGAAGGGTCTCCCAACCAGAAACTGGGCAGGAAAGCCCCTGAAAGCCAAAAGAGAATCTTGGATGACCACTGCCGCTTGAACTCAAGACTGGACTCAGGGGGCCGGAACACACCACCGGTGTTCCAAGTAAGGCTCTCACCTGGCTCTTGAGAGAAGGCAGTGACAATTGAAGAATAGCATTCCCTCTGGCACTGGAAATTTCTTTTATGCAAGTGACTTTAGACAAACAAAGCAATACTTGGCCAAAAAGCCACAGGTGGGGACTATGAAGCTGTTCCCACCCCACAGCCACCCGGCCAGCCCATGCTTTCCCCCTGCTCCAAAGGCCCTTGCACCTGCCAAGGAACGCCCAGCGGGGTCACAGGAGTGATCTGAAGGACCCAACTGCCATCTTTACTCTGGGAGCTGCCAAAGCCTTCTGGGTTCTCGAGATGGAAGTAGATCAGGGGAGCAACTCCACCACAGACAGGAAGGGGGCTGCAAAGGGCAGGAGACCTTATGCCCAGAGATGCTCAGCCCCACAGCTTTTTCTTGGAGTGCCACTCCTAGCCTGCCTTCCTGCCAAGGAGGTGGGGCACTGGTTCTCACCCAATTACATCCTCACAACAACCTGCCCAGGTAGTCTGGCCAAGATGCTCCAAAACTTGAGATGTCCTGGCCAGCCCCGTAAATTTTGATGTGATTCACACAACACTACTCTCTCCATAGGATCTAACACCCACATTCAGATGTCCTAAGAATAGAATAGAAAAAATAGAATTCTTTACTGGCCAAGTGTGATTGGACACACAAGGAATTTGTCTTTGGGGCATACGCTGTCCGTGTAAATAATACATTCATCAAGTACATAAAATACATTCATCTAGAGTCATAAGATACAACCCTCAGTGATAGTCATAGGATACTAAATAAGCAATCAAATCATACTAGGAAACAAAATATAAATTGCGAACATATAGGTGTGGCAGTGTTGAAAAGAATATTATTTGGGGCTTTGCCTGTTGTCCAAGTCCAGCCTTCATTACTTCCAAGCTGGCCTACCAGGTCCCCCGTCTCTGGGCCAATCCTGGTTCCAGCTGAAACCCTTCCTGAAGGAGAATATGGAACCAGAAACTGCCCTCTCATAAAAATAGATTCTGGCCACAAAACAGAGACCAAGAATTGTTCCACACATTCCAGTCTATCACCATGATGAAAACACAGGCTGCTCCTGTGTCAGAATCTCTTTCCATGCTCAAAGCAGTTACGTGGGTTTCCAACTGTGTGTTTATTAGATGGTTTTCAATATGTCCATTTGTTATGAAGGATTTTTCACATTCAGGGCATTCTTATTTCTTCTCTCCTGAGTGGATTCTTTGATGTACGTAAAGGCTTTCCTTCCCTTGAAGCTCTTTCCTCACTGCAGCCATTTATGTGGTTTTTCTCCTGAATGATTTTTTTGATGTGAATCAAGGCTTCTCTTTGAAGAGAAAGCCTTGCCACAATCCAGGCATTGATATGGTTTGTCTCTTGAATGGATTCTCTCATGTCTGTAAAGGATCCCCTTCCGATTGAAGCTCTTTCCACACTCCAGACATTTATGTGGTTTTTCTCCTGTGTGAATCATTTCATGTCTACGCAGGTCTCTTCTCTCATTGAAACTTTTTCCACATTCGAGGCATTTATATGGTTTCTCTCCAGTATGGATTTTTTTATGATGATAGAGGCCTGAACCCTCAGTAAAGCACTTTCCACACTCCAGGCATTCGTATGGTTTTTCTCCGGAGTGAATTTTTCGATGTCTATAAAGGCGTGCAATCACATTGAAGCTCTTTCCACACTCCAGGCATTTAAATGGTTTCTCTCCTGTGTGGATCCTTTGATGTGTATAAAGGCTGCTACTATGACTGAAGCTCTTTCCGCACTCCAGGCATTTATGAGGTTTTTCTCCTGAGTGGATCCTTTGATGTCTATAAAGGCTGCTGCTATGACTGAAGCTCATTCCACACTCAAAGCATTTATAAGGTTTTTCTCCTGTGTGGATTTTTAGATGGCTTTGAAGAAGGTCTTTTATTCTGAAGGATTTTTCACATTCTGGGCATTCATATTTCTTTTCTCCTGTGTGGATGCTTAGATGCTTTTGAAGAAGGTCATTTCTTTTGAAAGATTTTCCACACTCCAGGCATTTATGAAGCTTTTCCCCGGTGTGGATTCTTAGATGGCTATCATGACTGCTCCTATGATTGAAGTGCTTCCCACGCTTCAGGCATTTAAATGGTTGGTCTTTTGAGTGGGTCCTTAGATGCCTTTGAAGATGGTCACTTCTTTTGAAGGATTTCTCACATTCCGAGCATTTAAATGGTTTCTCTAATGAGTGGGTGGTTAGATGGTTTTCAAAACATCCATTTGTTTTGAAGGATTTTTCACATGCCGGGCACTGATATCTCTTTCCTTCCTCCTGGATCCTTCGGGGCTGCCGGGGTCTTCCAAGGGATCCCCCGCCTTCCAGGCACGTGTCCTTCTCCCCGCATTGCCCTCCAGGAAGCCGTCTTTCCCGGAGTCTCACTAGCCTCATCTCTCCTGCAGCCCCGGGGACTCGGCAGGGCTGTTCCGCGGGGCCGGCTCTCGTCCTCCTGCTCTCGGGCAGCGCCTCCTTCCTTCCCCCGCCGGGCTCCTCCGTCCTCCCGAGGGAGAAAAAGACAGGCGGGTCACGGATGCGCCCCGGTCCCCGCAGGGGAGGCCCAGGCCGAAGCCTCCGCCCCCTGCGGACCCAAAAGAGACCCACCCAGACTGCGCCTCCCAGCATTCCCTGCGCCCTACCTGCACTCGGCTGCGTGCGCAACCCTCGCCTCTCCGATTCCGTAAGTAAGGGCCAGAGCGGCCTTCCTCCCTTTCCGGCCAAGCTCCGCCTCTTCCTCCTGGCTCCTACCTACATCCGGGCTCTTCTATCGCCGATTTAGGAAGCTCGCTGGTTCCCCTTTTGTTTCCGGAACTTTTCTCCAGAAGCTCCTCCACTTTAGCGTGTAGGGACCGCCCCAAGGGGTCCTCCTGCCAATCGCCGCCCTCCCCAGAGCGGCCAATCGGCGTCCGCCTTCCTGCAGTGAGCCAGAGCGCGCCTGCGCTGTGCCGAGGGTTTCCCTGGTCCCGCGCGGAGGTGAGGCGGGAGGGGCTCCCTTTGATTTTGGGGTCCGGTCTTCTCCCCTCTTCCGCATCCGGTCTGGCGGAGCTCGAGGGGCCCTTCTGGGGCTGCGGCTTTCCCCCTCCCTCCTCTCCGGGGTCTCCCCCTAGGCAGGGCGGGGGTGGGGGGGCATCCAGGCAGGCGGAGCTGAAGGGGCTCCGCTTCCTCCTGGGGGGCTCCGGCCAGGCTCCTCCGTGGCCTCCAGGCAGCGAGCTCCCCCCCCCCCCCCCCCCCCCCCCCCCC